TGAAGTAAATAAAGCTGGAGGAGAATGCCAGGAGCTGGAAGTGTGGCTAGATTTGTACTACTCCAGAGGGCAGTCTGTTCATTCTTCCTTCCTTCCTTCTTGGGCCTAAGAGACCTTGTATGTCTTGCTTTGAGGTCCAGAGCAATGGGAATGTCCCCAGCCAGCTTGGGAGCTTGTAATTGCTGAGCTTCAAATTTGAAAGGGCTTGGATATGATCAGTATCTATTTTAGAGTCAGGGACTGAGGCCCAGAGGAGAGAGCCTGCTTAAACTCATCATAAAGCCTTGAGTGCTGAACTGAACCTGGAGTTTCCCAATACGCACACCTGGGTTTTTTTGTCACCACCCTGCCCGGTCTCAGGAGGAGGAAAGCAAAACAGCTTCCACCAAACCCTCCAGGGAAGTGCTGCTTAGCCTGTCACCAGGCCAATCTTTAGAACCCTCCCCCAAGTCTCCTTTTCCTCCTGACCCAGCTTGAAAACAGTCCCCTGGAGAGGAGTGTGCTTGAGCACCCCTAGTGGTGAAGACTCTTCATAGACAGAAGTGGACGAACCACTGGGTCTCTCAATTCTTTCAGTTTCCCATATTTCATGGGAAATATTAATGAAGCATGCAGATGCAAGTCACCATTGGGGATGCCAGGAAAGTTAAAACCAATTAGAATCATTCCATGGAGGCCACCACTTAGAAAAGTAGAATCACAGTCTGAGAGACAGCCTACAAATCAGGACCTCTTGCTCATAAGAATTGTTAGTATGGAGGGGTTGACTCATGGAAAAGTAAGGGAAAGTAAAAGGAGGAAGAGTAGGAAAGGCATTCTAGTCGAGAGAAAGAGCTGAAGCAAAGGCTAGAGCTATGAGATGTAGTTTGGGATATGCTAATACCACCCAGAAGGTGTGTGGGATGGTTGCAGGCAAGTGATGGGGTGTGAGGCTGGAAAGGTAGCATGGAGCAGCCAGTGCAGCCTCAGGGGCCCCAGCTATCAGGCAGGTGACTGAGGCTTTCTCTAACTGTCAGTGGGATCTCTGAAGATACAAAACTAAACTGGGTGATGTGGAAAGAGCTGCAGCTGGAATGTGTGGGCAGCCCAGCCTGACTCTGCCAAATGAGAAGGCAAACTATTATGGATAAATTTCTCAATCCTCTGAGCCTCGGTTTCCCCTCTTGGGAAGTAGGGGTAGTAACAGAACCTATCACTGAGGATGGCTGTAGTGGTCACATTGTGAACTAGTGCATTGCTTGCCTTGCTAAAAAGCTAGTGGATGTCAGTCTCTGCCTGGGTATCAAGAGGTTCTTAAGGGAGGTTGGGTAGCAAGAAGGATGCCTTTGTAAAAGCAGATGGAGCCAAAGATATAGGGTTTGAATCCACTGACTGGACTAAAATCCAGAGCAAGGCCACGTCCTCTGGGAAAGAAGCTGGAGACCTTTCCTGGTGGCAGGGAGCCCATGGCCTCCGTTTACTCCCCATCAGGGCAGAGCTGAGCCTGGAGCTACATCTGGTCTATGAGTGCTGATGTGGGGATAAGAATACAGATCCTGACCACCCAGCAGAGCATTCTTGCTGCCTACTCCTTGGGTCGCCTTTCCCCCAGGCCACATCACCTTATCCAGGTCCACCTTGCGACTTCTTTGCCAGGCCTGTTGTCTCACTGAGATGAGATGGCCCAACTCAGGAGAGTCCACAGCTCCTTTCTGAGCCTCTGGATACCATGAGAGGACTAGCTCAGGGGTGGGGCTTAGGGCCACTCCTTTGGGTAAAAGTATGACTCTAAGAAAGACATTCTGGGATGGGGTGCAGGTGCCAGGGCAGGAAAATAGCTGTGTCCGAGTTAGGCTGCCAGGCTCACACAGCATTCGCATTTCTCCACGGGTGGATTCCCAGAGCCCTTGAAGAAGCAGTGAAGGGGGAATCATTCAGTCTAGTGATTAGGAGCACAGCTTTGGAGTGTGACAGATAATGGTTGAAATCCCTGAGTCTATTTCAAAAAAAAAGGAATGATAACATCTGTCAGATAAGTAGTTCAGTTAACTATGGTGTGTGTCATGTGCTTCATCAATTAGCTGTGGGCCCTGCACATTCCAGGGCCCACTAGGGTGAATGACCTTCACTCGGGTTAGTTGCTGGTTGATGTCAGGCTCTCTACCCTGCTTTGGGGAGATGACAGAAAACAAGCCCTCAGGAAGCTCAAGACACAGTAGGGGAGACAGATAAGTAGGAGGCTGTTGGAGACAGTGGGAGAAACACTGCAATAGGGGAACAGGATGTTATGGGAACTAGGGAGGTGGTGTGTGTGTCCTTCTGGAGGAGGTACTATTTTTATGTAAATTAGAACAGGAATTAGGCAAGTTTGGAGTAGGGCCAGAGCAAGGGAGAAGTCACTGCTTGTGTGTTAAGTTCTTGGGCAGACAAGAACTTGGGGGGACAGGTAGGTCTAAAGTAAGAGGACATGGCCTTGCCCTGAGTTTCTCACAAGCTGGTGCAGAGGCTATTTGCCCAGAGTATGGGCCACAGATGTGAGAGGATGTGAAGCAAGGATCCCTTTCCCCTCTCAGGGTGTGCTTCCTGAGAACACTCCAGTTGTTTTTCCTTCCTGTCCTTCCCTGGTCTCATCTCTTCTGCCCCATAGCTTTGGTGTGTTCCCTTCTGTTGACTCCAGTGCCCACGACCTTTGCTCTATGATGATGGTGTCTGGGTCCTGACACACTCATGGTCAGGAAGATCCCAGCCCTGGCTCCTTCACCCTAGAGATAAGCTTAGGGCCATTCCTTGGAGGAAATGAGCAATTCTCAATAGGGTGACTGAAGAAGGGGGTGGAATGGAAGGAAGAAAAGATGCCTGTTTGGGAGATAGAGGCCAATAGGAAAGATGAAGCTTGCTGTACAGGGTGTGAGGACACTTAGGGTCCAATGGGCAGTGACACTAGGACTGGGCTTGAAACCCTGAAGTGGGGCCTCCCACCTGGGTGTTGTCTCTTGACCTTCTCTCATCCTTACTCTCCCTTCTGCAGAGCCTAAGAATATAACTCCTTGGGAAAGGACTTTGCCAATTTTTCAAAATAAAGTTGAAAAAATCTCCAAAGGGAAAAGAATAAACACACTTAGAAATGCAAAAGGAAAAGGAATTTTTTATTTAAAAAAAAAAAGAAAAAATAAAAGAGGCCCCAGTCATTTCATTTAAGTGAAAGTTTCCAGCCACTGTGATGTGAAGTCAGAAACTTCAAGGAGACCTGGACTATCTTCGGTCCAAATTCAGAATTGTTCAGCTAACAAGTAGGGTTACTTTCAGTCTACTAGCCTCTGTGCTCTGCACTGCAGGCGAAGAAGCAAAGAAGTCCTTCCAGGTGAGGGTCTAGTAGAGGAGTTATGACAGAGACAACAAGAACTGGTAGACAAGGGGTGCTGAGACCAGTGCCACAAAATAAAAAGTTCATTTGTAAGCACAGAGTGACATAGGAGAGCTGACTTCTGGTGGGAGTGGGGGACTCAGGGCTGGCTAGAAAAGGTTTCAAGGATGTGTGCTTTGAGTCAGATATTGAAGCCCAGGCTGGGACTCAGCAGGCAGAGATTGAGTAGAAGGCTTTCCAAGTAAAGCAAATGATGTGAGCAAGGGTGCAAATGGCAAAATTCTTTAGTGCTTTGAGAAACAAGGCCATTTGGTTTTCTTAAATACACATAACATTTATTTATTTCTGTCTATCTGTATATATGAATTAATTTGTTTTATTGAGATGTCACATAATATGCAACTGACCTATTGAAAATGTACAATTTACAAAGTTGTAAACTAGCACCAATTTTATAATTGTAGAAAAATTTTATCACCTCAAAAAGAAATGCTGTAGCTATAGAAGTCACTATCCAATTCCTCAGTCTGAGGTAGCTACTTATCTTTGTTTCTATGGAATTACCTATCAAGACAACTCATATAAATGGAGCCATATAATATGTAATATTTTGTGACTAATTGTTTTCACCTCGCATGTTCTTAAGATTCATCCATACTTGAGCATGCCAGCACTTTATTCTTTTCTTATTTTGCCTTCATTCTTTTTCATGACCGAATAGTATTCCACAGCATGGCTGACTCACATTCAGTTTATTTGTTCATCAGTCATATCCACATCGAGACTGTCACACTGTAGACACTTGTGTACACGTTTTTTGTGGTTGCATGTTGTCAGGAAGTTCCACCTTGAATTCAGCCTAGGACAGTCCTGGTGGAAAATGGAAGAGAAAGGTGAATTAGGGGAACCTATTTGTCTATTTTGTATTCTGGTTTTACTGGGACTCCACCCCTTAACAGCAGCATAGGGTAAGTGAGGCCAGGGCAGAGCTGTCCCCCCACCATCACACACCTGTGTTGTTGAGTCAGACCTGGCAGCTATTGGTCAGGCTGGAAATAGCCTGGGCAGCTGATATTTTCCCTGGAAGTCAGGTGCGCTTTTTCCTGTGTCATGCTAAAGGTCAAATGTAATTAAACATATAGAGAATTATGAAGCACACCATTAGTCTAGAGGAGGGGCAGGTTGTCAACAGGAAACTAGGCAGCCAGGGGAAAGAAGTGGTCAGGAAGACCAAGGTCAATAAGCCAAGTGTAAACCCAGCCTAAGCTGCACCACCCCCACTCCATGGTGCTCACATAGCCTGCAGTTTGTCTACAGGAAATGCTGCAAGTATCTCACTAGATCCATTCAGCAGTTGGGAAAAGATAGGTACTGCATTACAGGGCTCTGCTGTTTGGAGACAGAAAGGGGGTTAGGGCCAATGTGTCCAGTTCTGTTGTTAGAAAAAGATTTACTAAAGCCTGGGTCTTGTCCCCAGCCCTGTGCCTGTTTTTGAGTTCACATGAGAAGACTGAGGACACAAAAACATGAAAGAATTTATGCTGTTTTAGTTTCCTAAAAAAGAACACCAAGGCCCACCCTAACCCTCAAGCAAAAACACAAAACAGGGCTTTAATTACCATCCTTTTTTTGTGTGTTTTTTGTTTTTGTTCTCCAGCCAGAAAACATTATGTTGTTAGACAAGGATATTCCCATTCCACACATCAAGCTGATTGACTTTGGTCTGGCTCATGAAATAGAAGACGGAGTTGAATTTAAGAGCATTTTTGGGACACCGGAATTTGTTGGTGAGTTTTGGGCCTATTTTTCTCTCAGCTAAGAATCTGGGCTCAAAAAGTAGAGAAATCCCAGGAACAAATTCTGGTTCTGGCACCATGGCCTCTGGACTGAAAGACGAAGCCTTCGAGATCTCCTGGAGACTTAATGGTTGGGGAAAGAATGTCATGCTGGGCCTCTGGGTGAGGACACAGCCCTCTGTCTTTTAGCCCCCAGAAGGGCAGGAAGAGGCCAGGCTGTGCCTCAGGACTTTGCAGTTTACCTTGCCAGAATTGACCCCACATCCTGCTCTAAACTGAGTTGATTGTAAAGACTGTAAAGATTATTGTAAATTGTAAAGATTTAAAATTACCTTACCCTTTTGCATTCCATAAACTTAGCTTTTGTGGAGTAGCTTTTGATTTCCTGAAAAGGAAAAAAAGATATCATCTGCCAGATGCCAGATCCACCCACTAGCCGCTCTTGTGCTCCTGACCTTTATTCTTGCACAGGGGCCAGCTCTAGTGGGGCCTGGCAGCTCTCTCTTCCCTCTGTTTCTTGCACCCTTGGCCCAGGCCCCAGAATCTCCTCATGAGGCTTGGGCCACAGGTTGGGAGTCAGAAAGAAAGAGGCCTGTAGAGGGGAAAGGAATGAGGTTGAAAACTATCATCTCTTTGCTCTGGGGTTGGATATCAGAGAGGAAGGGAGGGCATCCCCTCTTCAAAACCTGGGGCTAACCACAATCTAATAGAAATGAAAGAAAGAATGTATCAGACCACCATCTTTGGTGAATCTTCAGGCCATACATACCAGCTCTGTAACCACTCTGGAATGACACCACAGAAGCCCATGGACCAGGACAGGGTAACAATGCTATGTGTCTGGTACTGTGCTGAGTGCTCTACATTGTCATAGTTAATCCTCAAATGACCTCGCGAGCAGATTTAATTATTTTCTCTATCAAGTACCTCGTTCAAGGCAAAACAACCAGTAGGTGGTAGAGCTGAGGTTCAAAGACTAACACACCCATCATCAAAGTCTGTGTTCTTTGCATTGCACTGTCTCTTTAAGAAGATCTTGCCCCCTGTGAGCCCCAAATAAAAGTGCTGGAAGGATCTTTTCAGATCATCTGGTCTGGTTTAAAAAATGTGGAATTGGAGGATTTTTTTTTAAAAAAAGATTTATTTATTCATACGAGCTGGGGTACAAGCCTGATGAGAGGCTTCACCAGAGAGAGAGTGGGGAGCAGAACAGGCAGACTGAGCAAGGACATTGCTGAGGGGAGCAGAGGGTGTCAGGAGAGGTCTGCCATACCATGTGGTCACCTGGGGTGGAGGTGGGGGATCAAAGTCGCACTGAAGCTGCTAGCTTGCAGTGCTGCATCCTAAACCCCTTGCGCCACCAGGGAGGGCCCAGAATTGGAGGATTTTAGTAAGAACACCCAAGGGTTTTTCTTTACTTACTGTACAACAGATTTTAAGTACTAGGGACACAGTGATGGTAGGAGCCGCATTCATAATGACACACCCAAGGTCCCACAATCAGTTGGTGACAGAATCAACTTGAACATCTATTTCAAACTTTGTCCAAGAAAGCAGTCACTGCCACCATTCGCATGTGGTAAAAGTGTATGTTTGTTTATTTAAGTTTATACAACTTCTTATTATTAAAACATTAAATAATAAGTAGTTCAACTAGAAACACAGGGCCACAGTGAATGAGGTATCATAAGACAGGATAGGATTCATTGTAAAATGAATGATGTGCATAGCTTTGGAATACTATTCAGATAAGAGATCCACTCTGGTGAAGGCTCTGGGATTAATTGGGAGTCAGTGAGGGGCACAATACTGATGTTGTGAGTGGGAGAGGAATCTGAAGGTGGGAAGAAAAGGAGCCAGAACAGAGAAGGAACACATTCCAGGTTCAGTGGTACCCTCTCTGGTTGGGTTCAGCTCTCCCAAAACATCATTCACTATAAATTAGGTGAGGTGAGGAGGAGGGAGGAAGGGAAGAGGATAGAGAGTCCACATACTCACACGGCTGTAGAGGGTTTTGCCTAGTGGTACGCTAGGGACTAAGGTGTTGAAATTCTCAGATGTTAACTATAAAATAGATGGCATGTATGAAAATAAAAAGTAGAATTACAAGAATGAGTAAGCAACAAGAGGCTATCAAAAAACGAGCAAGTAAATTTTGAAAAGAACCAGATAGAATGTTAAAAAATTCAATATATACGCACAGATATTTAAAACCCAGTGGTGGGGTTTTAATGTAAATGTCTAGCAACTGGATATCAAAACAAAATAAAACCCTAACTTATACCACTTGCCAGTTTCAACCTTTCCAACATCTTGTCACTGAGTTCAGAGTTCAGGAGATGCACAGAGTTGACTCTTGCCAGCCAGTATAACCTGGCTCCTGCCTACGGCATTTATACCTTATACCTTATACATATATGGGCTAGCTTCTTTAAGCCCCTGTCCAAATTATGAGACCTTCTTCTCCCTGAGATTCCCTGAGAACAATTTATAACCACTTACCCCCTACTCTTACCATTCCTTTGAAGTTTCAACCTGAGGCTCAGAGTAAAATGTGTGTCAGCTTCAAGGAGTGTGACTCAGTCTTCTGAAATGCTCTCCCTCTACAAAACTGTATTCTTTTTTTTTTTTAAATCCCTTTTGATACATTATGATCTCATTGGAAATAAGAGAAAAATTTAAGGGTACTAACTCCTTCAGCACCACATGTTCTATGCCCCAAAAGACAATGAAATGAACTTAGAACTGGAGCTGTGAGCAGAAAGAATGTTTGATGGGGGACGTTGTTCATGGCTAGGGAATATACCAGCATTTAGTCAGAGGCTAGCAAGACCTAGATGCTCAGGGACTGAGGTATTGAAATTTTCAGATGCTAACTATGAAACAAATGGCATGTAAGAAAAAAATAAAAGTAGAATCACAAGAATGAGTAAGCAACAAGAGGCTATCAAAAAAGTGAGCAAGTAAATTTTGATAAGAACCAAATAGAATGTTAAAAAATTCAATATATACTCATGAAAATTTAAAACCCAATGATTGAGTTAAGTAGCAGATTTCACATAGCTGAAGAAAGAATCAAAGAGTTGGGAGGCCGAGTTGAAAAAATACAAGACACAGGAATATGAGAGCAAGGACACGAAAAGAGGGTTAAAAAAAATGAAAGTCTAACAGTTCTGCTTAGAAAACAGAACACACCTTACTTAGTGTGTTGTTAGAAGAGGGTTAGAATGTTGGATTGTATCAAAACTTGTTAGTTATGTTGTATTAGACCTTGTTAGTTCCCCAGAGCCCTCCCTGGTGGCACAATGAATTAATGCACAGCACTGTGAAGCTAGCTGTAGTTGCCTCCACAGGAGTTCAATCCCCGGGCAGGGAGCTGACCCACATGGCACAGCAGATTCTCCTGTTTTTCCTGCTGTTCCCCCTCAGTCTTGTATTTCAGTTGATTTTCCTGTTCTGCTCCCCACTCTGTCTCTGGTAAAATCTCTCACCCGCACCTCTGGCCTGTACCCTACTTCTGTGTGTATATATAAATAAATCTCAAAAAAAAAAAGAAAAAGAAAAAGAACTTGTTAGTTACCCATAGGAAAGTCTCAAAGATGGCCATTAAAAATATGAAGTTGGGGGCCCTCCCTGGTGGCGCAGCGGGTTAAAGCACAGCACTGAGAAGCTAAAGCCACTTCAGCATGAGTTCCATCCCCGCCTGCCCCGGAGGTGACCACATGGCGTGGCAGACCTCTCCTGACCGGCCCGCTGCTCCCCTCAGCAGTGTACTTCATGGATCTGCCTGTTCTGCGCCCCACTCTGTCTCTGGTGAAGCCTCTCGCCGCCCCTGAGCCTCTGGCCTGTACCCCAGTTCTGTATGTACAAATAAATAAATCTTAAAAAAAAATATGAAGTTGGGGAAAAGCAAAAATAAAACAAAGGAAAAATCAATTTAAAAAAGATAGGAAAGAAGGAAAGTACATACACAATGGACAGACAGAAGCACATAGAGGACAGAAATGAGCAAATATTTTAATCAAGCAGATAAAACACTGGAAAGTGAGTTGTGCTTCTCAAACTATTTGGTGAAAGAGTTTTTAAAAAAATTCTTTAGTTGGTGCTGAGCTGCTTCTTTAAAAAGACAAAAATAAATAAATAAATAAATAAATTCATAGAAGAACCATCACTGTTCAAATGTCACCAGAGTCACATTGCTATGAGTCTCTGAGTGCTTGCTCCCAATCTCTGCAAGCTATCTATGGACCACACTCTATGTCATTGTCTTAAGGAATGTCTTTTACCTGTGTCTTAGCGGATATATACAGAAAAGTTCATAGTGATGTGTTCCAGTAGTTGAAGACATGAAAACCATCCAAATGATTGCTGAGAGGAATAGCTGAATATTAGTAGGCTGTTTTGCCTCACTTAAGACATTTTAAATAATGGACTGCATATAAGACTTACGTAGTCCCAAGAAGTTATGCTGTGTAGCCCTATGGTTAAGTGACACATTACTAATGGACTATTATATAGTAGTGAAAAAGAAAGATTATGGATAAATATTTAATGTTAGAAGGATCATGTTGAGTGTAGTGGGGGACGGGGAGAAGTAATGCACATCGCATGCAGTGACACATTTTTATAAAATTAAAAATAAAGCAAGTCAGAAGAATGTTTTCAAGTAGGGAAAAGTAGGAAAGTAGGGAGAGGTGGGATGGTGGGCAACCATTTGATATTGATCTAGATGAACACAGCCTTTCCCATGGTTTTGTCTTTTTCTGTTAGTGGTTAAACAAGCTCAATCCTGCTCCCTTCCATAGCCTCTACCCTCTCTTTCTCCTCCATTTTATCACCAAGCTTTTAAAAAAATTGTTTACACACTTAGCTCCTTTTCCCCTCAGGCACTTCTTACTCACAATGAGTAAGAATTCAACACTCACCTTCATGTGCTCATCAACTTGACATCTACAGCATTTGGTCCTCTTCTCTTCTCACCTAGACTCTGTACCCTCTCCTGGTCACCCTATCTTCCCCTGGATACCCTTCATCATTTCAGTGGTCCCCAAGAATGTCCCCCCCCACCCCTCGGGTAGAAGGTACCAACTTTTAAACTAGACTCTACACTTTCTTTTCATCTCCATTATATCATCATCCATATAAGCACTAACTTTACTGGCTTTCACCTTATCTCCTGGCCCATGTCCTCTTGTTTCATCTTCTTTCCCCACCCTCCTTTTCTTTTTCTCTGTGGTTTCCTTCTTCTTACAACCAAAATCTCTTTGTAAAATGGTTCTGCAGGATAATAGGCAACTTTCTTCCTCAAAATTCTTAGACCTATTTTACCTCCATCTGTTGCTATGATTTTCCTTAGTGAGGATTTAGGATAGGACATTTGAGATGTCAGTTCCCTACAACCATCTCTTATTATTTTCATATTCCTGCTGACTCTTCAACATGGCTTCTTTCAGCTCCGGAAATCGTGAATTATGAGCCACTGGGACTGGAGGCTGACATGTGGTAAGTGGTATAGGTGACCAGGTGGCCTAGGGATCCTTCTAAGGCAGGAGGCCTCTTACCCTTCCTCCAGCTGACATCCCCTTTGACCATGAGAGACTCTGTCAGAGCCTCTGGATGCTCCATATGTGCTAAACCTGTGGCCTGGGCAGCTGGTCTGAGCCTGGATCTGTAGCCGCGATCTGAGAATAGTTAGAATGGTGACTGAGGCAGAGAACACAGGGAGAGGTAAGCTGGAGGTGCATCTCACCCCTGAGGCCTGCCAAGGCCATGAGAAAGATACTAGTAGCATAACTCAGTTAGTCAGCTGGTCAAGTTCTCGCAAAGAGCCTCTTATGTTCTAGGCACTTTGTTGGACCTGCGGATATCTCAGTGAGTGATTCTGCACTGACAGGACTTGTTTCATTTGAACATGCTTTAGAATTGGTTGAGCACCTTGATTACCAGTTTTCTGAAGTCTTCCCAGCAGTCCTGTAAGGTAGTTATCGCTTTCCTCATTTTATGAGGAGAGAGAGGCTTGCAGGTGATAGGAACTTGCCCTAATCTCAGCCTACAAGTATAGGAGTCTGATTTCAAATCTGGGACCTTATACTCAAGTGTCCAGAGCTTGATGGCTCCTTATGTGACCCCCGCTGCTGCTGAAGAGAGGACTGGGGTAGAGAGGCACATCACTCCCCCTGAGAACCATGTGGGGAGTCTCTTGCTGGTCTGGGATTAGAGTCTTGATTTGACTGTTCTTTATTTTACAGGAGCATAGGTGTCATCACCTACATCCTGTAAGTATGCCTGGGGTGCTGACCCTATTTAAATCTGAGGAGGTGGGGAAAATGGGAAAGAAGCAGGCAGACAGACAGTTCTGGAGCATCCACACAAAAAATAAGTAAATAAAAACAGATGTGTTAGATCTGCACAACAAACTTGAAACTAAACTCATCACCTGGGGATGAGGTTGGGCAATGACCCAGCCCTCCGTCCCGCTCAACCTGCATCTGCTCCCCTGCCATTGCTGAGCACCCACCTCTCAGCCCCACCCAGACAGAGGTTTCCTGTGAGAATGTCAGCTTTCACTCAGGCCTGGGACAGCTCTGCAGCTCCGTGTCCTCATACATCCTGCCCTTTCCCCTTCCTTTCCCTAGCTCTCACATTCTCTCTCCTCATTCCCCAGAGCCTTTCCTTCCTGTCCCTCAAGTACTAAGTTGCTCAAGCAGAGATTTCCTGTCTAGCTCTGTATGTAGTAGATCTGTCACTTTCCATCTCTGTGGCCTTGGGCAGTTACTAACCCCTGGGCCTGCTTTTCTCATCAGAAAAATGGAAATCACAAATGTCCTGCCACAGCTGTGCTGTGGGGGTTAAATCAGCCAACACCCACATTTCCTAGCACTGCTCTGGCTTACTTTTGACTGATTAGTAGGTGTTCATTTCGTTAGTGCTTTCTAACCACTTTGCTCACCACCCACAAGGAAAATGCTATTTCATAGCACCCTGGGCAAGCACAAGGGACGCCAGTGCCGTGTAGCTGAGGGCATCATTCTCTCTCCACTCCTGTAACAGTTCTCTGCCTCTTCCAGTGGGGCTTGGACTGAAAGGTCTGTCCTAGGTGGTCAGCCCCCTTGAGCTCCAACAGAGAACCTCAACCACGAGTGCCCATTGGGTCCACTAGCTCAGGTTAAACTTTTATGGCTTGTTCAGGAGTTTAGAGGTGATCCTACAGAAAATGGGGCATGTGGAAGGTTATTTGTGTTCAGTAACAACAATAATAATGGCCTTCAATTCCAGAACCCTTTTTTTGGGCCAGGCTTATCTGAAACATTTTACATTTATTTAGTTTTCACAGTAATCATATAAAGTAGAGGCTTTTATTTTCTTTGTTGTACAGATAAGGAACTGCAGCTCAGAGAAGTTGAGTATCTTACCTCACTTCACACAGCCAATATGTGACAGAGCTGAGATTCAAACCCTGAATTGAAAAATTAAATTTCTTTTCCAGTACACCTTGGTGCTGTTATGCTTAAGCAATGACAGAGAAATATTTAGTAAATGGAACCAGCAAAACTTTTTGGCCATTTAGATGTTTCTAGGTAATGGAAAGAAGTCAGAGATGACCCCTGAGTTTTGAGTTTGCGTACATTTGTGAAATATCATCATCAATTGAGGCAGGGAGTGCAGGGATAAGGGCTGGGCACAGTGACTTCTGGGACAGTAGCATCTCTTGGGTCAGAGGTATCCTTTATGACACTGGAATATGCATCACAAGACAGTAAATGTAGGAGACACTATTTGAATAACACATCCTGGACAGATCTTCCAGGGAAACCTCTAAGAACCTTCTGGTCACAATGGCTATCAATTTCCATGCTTCCCACACTTTGCTCAGGCTGCTTCCTTAGCCCAGAAGACCTTCCAGCTCCTTCTCTGACTGCTGGCAGCCTCTTCATTTTTCAAGACACCATTGGTGCAAATATCAGCACTGTCAGGAAGCCTTCAGGGGGCTTTCCCTCTCTCTTGTGCTCCCCCAGTCCTTTGCCTAGTCTCCTGTTGTATTTTCCTTTGATGAGCCGTGTCGCCATGTTTCTGTTCCCTCCTCTTTTGAGTCCTTAAAGGCACATTTTCTCTGACAGATCGTTAGTAGTAGCTCCATAAAGTGTGTTAAACTGGACTCAGTTGAAAAGGCTGCTGATTGGCTGCCCAGAGAGGGCAAGCTGTTGCTAGGAACCTTTGGGCCCCCCACACAATGCAAGTCAGGAACCCCCAAATCCATTCCCCACTTTGTCATATGTTCCTTCTTGTGTGCTCAGCCTAAGTGGAGCATCCCCTTTCCTGGGAGACACGAAGCAGGAAACACTGGCAAATATCACAGCTGTGAGTTACGACTTTGATGAGGAATTCTTCAGTCAAACCAGTGAACTGGCCAAGGACTTCATTCGGAAGCTTCTAGTTAAAGAGACCGGGTAAGAGAACAGACAAAGCCTTCTCAGGTACTTGCCTTCTCACACCGCCTCTCCCATAGATGGGTCAGTCTGTCGCTGTCCTGCTGTGGCTGTCATCAACACCATAGTCATCTGGGCAGAGCTGAGAAGTGTGCACTGGCTGTGACTTAGCATTTGTATTGTTTTCTCAAGTTTTTCTGCTTGCTTTTCCTGCTGAAATGTGAAGAACATGTGTGTGTGTGTGTGTGTGTGTGTGTGTGTGTGTGTATGTCTTTCAAAGTCAGCCTGGGTTTCTGTTGGGCTTATTATTCTGTGTGGTTTGTCCTAGAGGCATCTGGAACTAGGAATTGACAAGGAGAGTGGCAGTTTTCAAGCCAGTTCCCGTGGCAGTGGGGGGAAGGCAGACTCAGAGGGGTCAGAACAATGGGGGGCTTGAGACACACTAATCCTACTCCCTTTTCGGCACCCAGAATGAGCTGTGGGGGTCAAAGGGAGAGATGCTCAGGGAACTGTAAGGAGGAAGGTACTCAGAGCAGAGCCTATATAGGGCAAAGTCAAAGCACAAGGACACACACACACACACACACACACACGTTCACATTTCAGCAGGAAAAGAAAGCAGAAAAAGCTTGAGAAAACAATTCAAATGCTGTCATATCTTCTTGGTCCCACAAACTTCTGAGAGGTCCAGCATGAGATCTTTTAAAGTGCGGGGGCCAGATTTCCTCACCTGAGGGCAGTTCTAGGATACCTAACTAGCTACAGAGCAGGGAAGGGGAGAGAAGGGATCTGGGAGGCAAATAAAGAAACAGCCCGAAGGTGGAAAGCTGGAAGTTCAACACAGCATTTATGACTCTGCTATATGTGGTGGTAGCCCTGCAACTTTGGGGCCTTAGGGTTTCCCTATCGGAGGTCCGCCAGGAACACTTTCTCTGGATTGCAGCCAGCTCCTCATCTGTCACTGCATTCTCCATCAAATCTCACTGCTGCTTTGGTGGCAGTGGTCGAAGAATGCCAAAGCCCAGGTCTGAGTATGAGTGCAGCTATCGCTCTGCTTCTGTCCTTATGGCTCATCACTGTTTTCTGATTCTCATTACAGGAAACGGCTCACAATCCAAGAGGCTCTCAGACACCCGTGGATCACAGTAAGTGCAGTGATGAGTTCCAGAGAGCAGGCAGGTCCCTGCTCTGTCTCCTAGGCTGGCTGGGGCAGCAAGATGCAGAAGCATCGCTTGTAGCATTTTCCCCCTCCCACACAGATTAAAATTAATGGGTGGAGGGAGGGGAGTGGAAGCAGGCAGAAAGTTTTCTACAAATATGCTTTATAGGTTTTAGTTCGTATTTCACAGTTTCAGGTGACCAATGAAATAACTCCCACAAGCCTCAGTTGAAATCCTTTATCTTCGGGGTTCTCTTAGAAAGTATGAGTTGGAGGATGTAGCACCTTGGTCCTCAAAGCAGAAATCAGGGTTCCCTACCTTAGAGATCAGCAATGATTAAGAACCTCAATTCTGAGATCTTATCTCCTTCCTTTGACTCTGTGTAGAAAGAAGGCTGTCACTCATACCAGCCACTTGGCTTCAACAGGCTCTTTGAAGCCTCAGAGCATGGGGCTTCAAGACGGAGGCCGGGTGGGAAAGACTAGGGATACCAAGATGAATCCCTGCTTAATCTGCTTGGTATGGGGGCTTCCAGCTACTGTCTTTTCAGAGGGTCACGTCCTCCAGTCACAGTAAGATGCTAGTGAGAAGCACTTGACAGGGTAGGAATCAGGAGTGGGGATACTGGCACTAGTTCTACTGGCTGATGAAATGTGTGCTCCCAGGGAGGTCACTGACTCCCCACTCACCGGAATCGTGAAGTGAGAATGCTGGTCAGGATGATCAGGAGCTAGAGACCTCTGGAAGGTGGACAGTGGAGGGGAGGGCTGGAGTGTTCAAGTCTTCTTTTAGTTGAATGATAGGGAAGACCATCAGCCCTCCTGGTTCAGGGTGGGTTCAGAGCACAGAGCTAGAGAGTTTCTTGTGATGCCTCCCCGCTCAGCATGCAGTGTTATCCAAGCTTCTGGAGCCAACTAGTCCTGAGGGGAGCGGTCTCACCTCCTCCCTCTGTCAGCCATGGCCTCGTGTGTTCCAGCCTCTGAGTGGATGCCTGCAGAGCCCTGGCTGTCGCCTGCTTGTCTGTGCCAGCTCCCCTTAAATGCTACGCGTGTGGAGCCCTCTCTAATGACTAATGACCACCCTGCCCTGAAGTAAGCAGGCAGCTTACTTGAAGTGGCACTATGTTCCTTAACCTTCCTCATAGTCTTTGGGGGTATCCATCCACCCCAGGTCTTCTCCTCCTGCATGTGGTGAATGCCAAAGAGGTCGCACGTGTGTCTTCCACCTGCACCTCAGACTGCCTTGGAGCAGGCATCAAATTAACTCTGGCTCTTCTGTCTAAACACTCACCAGTCCAAAGGAGAAGTCAGAGCCCCAGAGCAGCAGAAGACAGAGCCCAGCCAGCTGAAGACCAAGCGCCTGAGAGAGTACACTCTCAAATGCCACTCAAGCATGCCCCCTAACAACACCTACGTCAATTTTGAGCGTTTTGCCCGCGTGGTAGAGGATGTGGCTCAGGTAGACCAGGGATGTCGTGCCCTAGCAGGCACTCATGACACTATCCAGGATGATGTGGAGACCCTGGTCTCCATCTACAATGAGAAGGAGGCTTGGTACCGAGGGGAGAGCGAGAGGACCCGGCATGACCTATCCCAGCTCAGGTATGAGTTCCGCAAGGTTGAGTCCTTGAAGAAGCTCCTGCAAGAAGACCTCCAGGCCACAGGGTCCAGGCTTGGGAGCACAGCCAGGAAGTTGGACCAGCTGCAGACACAGTTTGAGGCTCTGAGGCAGGAGCTCTCAGCAGATCTCCAGTGGATCCAGGAACTGGTGGGCAGCTTCCAGGTGGAGAGTGGGCGCACAGATGGCCTAGATTCTGTGTTCGACTGGGATGCCAGCGAGTCCCTTGTGGAGATGCTCAACAGATTGAGCAGCAAGGAAGTTTTGGCCGGCTTGAAGCCCTGAACCCCAGAAGCCAGTCAGTAATGCATCCTAGATGGTTTGCAGAAGCACATTCCCATCTCGGAGATCAACCGGAATTATCCTACGTGTCTCAGTAGCATAGTCTTTTACCCACTTCGCAGAATCTAGGGTCACAGTGTGTTAGCTAGTTATTGATTCTGTACCTTCCTTCGACAACCTGATTTTCTGGGAGGGCACTCGTAGGGCAGCCAACCTGTTAACACAAATGCGAAAACCTGTCCGTCTGTAAGCCCTTCTCTAGAGGGAGGGTGGCTGACCCTGGAGGCTGCTTGATCATTGATCTGCAATAATGAATTTGTTCACATCTCACTTCCTGCCTCTAAGCCTTTTAGATGTCAGTTCTTAGGTAATATTTGTGTTAACTAGGGATTACCGTAAATCAGCTTGGGGCTTTTCCTGCTCCAGAAGAAGGGAGTTAAAAAGCTAAGAAAATAGTACCTTTAATTTGCATCGACTTTTCACTTACCAAGCACTTTTGTCTATGACTCCATTTGATCCTCAGAAGAACTCTGTGAGAAAGGAAGGTGGGTGGTATGATTATTGTTGTTACTGCTATTTCCATGTACCTGATGTAGAAACAGAGTCAAAGAAAGAAAGTGACTTACTCAGGTCATTCATAGCTATTTGATGCAGAATAAACAGAAAACCAGGATGACTGACTCTGGGATGCCATACCTGGGAAGAAGTAGTAAGGCTTTGCTGTCATTAGTCATCTTATGAGTAAAGTTAAGATTCCAGCAAAAAAGTAAGCAACTCCAAGTATTCTGCCAAGGGTAGGTGGGATGCTTCAAACTGTCACATCATCCCAAGAAGTGTGTCATATAAGGCACAGCTCATTGGTCTGTCCTGTCCTGTCACTGTTCAAAGATCAGCCTGCAGAGCAGGAATAAGGGGAAGTCCTTCTCCATCTCCCTAGCTCTGGCTCAGGCCTCCAGCCTCAACAAGAAGTTTCCTTTTCTGGTGTACCTAGGGCATAAAAAACTTCATGAGGGTTTTTTGAGAGGTTGGGTATTAAGATCAGGAAGTGGTTCTTGACCCCACACTTGGAGCACCTTGCCCAGGGACTGTAATGTCTTCCCTTTTTTCCCAGAGGAGGGGCCAGTGACCTAGTTCATATAGCCTGAGCATGGAGTATGGGCCCATCATTGTTCTAAAAGCCTGGGAGAGGGGAACATGTTGTACAATTTCAAAGGGCCTCACAGTATTACTAAATGCCCCCCTCAGATGGCCAGGGTAAATGTCATTCCCCATCTGGAGATAAAGGAAGCAGAGAGAAGGCAGTTTGTCAAAGGTGGCAGTAGTACAGTGATGGGAGCTGTCAGTGGTGAGTCTGCTGCTCTTTCTGTTCTACAGAAATTTACACTGCCCCAGGTTGCAGGAATTTACACTCCACTTGTGGGGCAGGTTACAACCAGACTCTGCCATCCATCTCTTTACAAATGGCACCTACCCACTACCAGCCATGCTGCTTGGCACTGGGGTACAATATTGAGTGAAAATGGGTACATTCCCTGTCTTGGCGAAGTTCAAAAGCTGGTGAAGAAGTCCAACATTAATTAAGAACTTTCTGCAAATACAGAATCATAGCAGCGACATATGCTATGAAAGAAGTCACACCACCACGAGCCTGCTATGGGGTTTTGAGCTTTTCAGGGAAGGTGTTCCTGAGGCAGTGGCACTGGAGCTGAGATCAGCTAAGCAAACCAGGGAGAGAGAGAGAGGAGTGTTCCTTTGGGGCTGTTATCCAGGGTGCATGAGAGGCTGAGAATGCATGGTCAAGAGAAAGCAGGAAGGGAGGAAATAACAGTGTGATGTAGACACAGTGGGAGAAGATCAGGACCAGCAGGACTTTGTCATATTAAAGACCTAGAATTAACGGGAGTCATGGTGGAGGTTAGGCTAGTCAGCAACTATGCTCACATACCCAGTGAGCTACATAGTCAGGATGTGTGAAGTTTAGGATGAGAAATGAGATTTTGATCCCATGAAACCATTTCTTCAAAACCCTATCTCTCATTCTATCATCACTTCTAATATTATATGCAATACTTTGTCTTATGTACTAAAAAATAAGAAAGTACCAAGATGGACAATCCAATAGGTGACCCTACACTCAAAGCTGGGACAGCCTCATGAAGGGGGTGAATGAGAAATAAAGCCACCAGGCAGGAAGGGAGAACAAGGGAATGTGTGTGCTTCTACCTTGATACCAGGTGGAAGGAGGAAAACGCCTCCCACTGTGAGTAGGCACTAGGGCAGCCATGCTTGTACAGGTTTGCTTTCTGCGTTGGCATGGTCAGAAATATCCAGAAGAATCTCAAGCAGACACTCTATAACTCAGTGGCTCCTGGTGGCAGAGGCAATGTGGTCATTTTCCGGAACCCCTGCCTTCATTTCAGATTACTAGTAATGTGATCTATTGGGAAATGCACCTTGATTTTAGAGGTGGAAAAACATGCATCTTGGACTCAGTGAAAGGTGCAAGCCCTCTTTCCCATGCCCTGCCGGGGAGAATTGGTAAGGATGACTCATCTGTGACTGCTCCAGGGACTTATCTGCCCTGTCATGAGATGTTTGGCTTAAGACACTGCAAATATTCAAAGTTGCTTTGGCCTTGTCAATAGAACTTGGCCTTCATACAATCAGATTTTCTAAGAAAAGGAAACCCCCAAATGAGCAATTCAAGCAAACTTCCCTGTGAAGGTCAGAATAAAATGTAATGAAGGGGTCAGTGCTGATGATTTGAATTAGAGAGACTGGGAAAAGGGGGAAAACGGTTATTT